CCTAAAAGCCACTCTATACCCTAGATAAATGATGGTGAACCCAGATCAGTGATGGCAAACCTTTTCAATGATAACAAACAGCCCACTTCAGTACATGTGCCATAAGTTTGTCACCACTGCAGATAAATGCTAAGTGATGCCAGATTGTTTGCCAGCTAGACTTGGCAAAAATATGCGTACACTAGCTTTCTGGGCAGTGACAATCTTGTGCAAAATAAAGATACCACTATAATGTGTGTTCTGAAGTATTTCCAAATGTGAAGCTAATTGTGCAAATGAAAATGATCTGCATTATCTAGAATGTAAGAGCATCCCCTTCTTGTGTTAGGAAATCATGGATCATAAGGAAAACCTTATCTGCACGAACATCTAAAAAGTATCCTTGACATATTAAAAAAATTCTCCACCACATATGGGAAGTATGATAATAGTTATAATTTTATATTCAAAGTATATACTCATATACATACACATATATAGCCCCCACACTAAGTACATATATATTATTTACTATATACTAAGCATGTGGGTATACAGTCTCATAATTTAATCAGTTTCAATAAAAGTCTATTTTTCTAACTAAATTCTTGCTCTGACATCTGTCAATGGTATTTTTTCCAAGGAGAACTACCTTACAAAAAGATATGTATTTCATTACATTTTCATTCTATTGTCCATAGTCAGCAGGAAAGGTGAAGCACAGAAAACAGAGATGAAATGATCTCATAAATACTGACGATTAACTTTCCAGAGGCTCACTCTGATCACTGGTCACAGGGATTACCTTTTCAGATATAATATAAATTACATGTGTGGAGGACATTCTTTGACTAGAAAGCACTGAGGACACACAATGATTTGTTTATTGTTGCAAAAATGAACTGAAACCTTCCACCTGAAGAGTGTATTTCAACTGCAGGAGATCCCTATTTTTCAGTCTTGCCAGGCATTGTAAAAATTAATGGGAAGTAAGGACTGTGATTGTAGTGGGTTGACAGCTGGTGGTCAACTTATAACCCCCAGCTGAACTGAGTAAGTGTGGTGCAGGGTGTGGGAGGCCCACCTGAAGACTGTTGGGAGCAGCATACGAGGCAGAATTGAAGAAGGATTATCCTTTAATTACTAAAACATTTGATATCTGCCCATTGGTACTAGCTACACTCTTGGTTCTCGCTCAATAAAAGGTGACTGAGATGGGTAATCAGGGCTGCAGCATGACAGGCTGGAAGCCCCCTGATCCCAGACTTTTGCCTCTCTTGTTTTTCTTGTCTTAGTTTTCTTTTCATTCACGGGCACCTCGTTCTTCAGACCTGTCACCCTGGTTAGTACTACAAATGCTAGAGTTCAGTTCTCAAGATGAACTTTGTTTTTTCAGTCTAATGCAAGCTATACAGTTACAAGCTAGTGCTCTCATCAAAACATGCGTAAGAAATTTGGCAAACTCACATATCATGAGTAAAGGTGTAAGAATGACTCCAAGGGTAAGTGCCATTTGTTATTTCTTTGCAATAACAAGCTATGCAAAATGAAGGGGAAATAAAATCTAATTAAGGAATATATAGGTTAAAACATCTAATGGGTAAGATTCTCCTTTAAGTATTGTCACTACTAATATATTTAGAGTGCTGGGATACAGTCAAGCGGTTTCTACACTGAAGCATCTTCAGGGTGGAAGCAGTGGGAAGTTTAAATACAGTCATGGAAAGGAATTATTTATAACAAATGGATTATTCTGTGTATGCAAATATGAAGTTTATGCTTAGATTCTATCAAAAAACCATCAAAGTTTCCCAGCACATTGGGAAACACAGGCCCCAGGCACTCCTGTCAGATGTAAGAAGAAATGTGGTGAGCACATCTGTGACTGCTTCTCACAGGGCAGTCTTTCTAGGCATACCTCCTATTAGCCAGTGCCCTGCTGAGCTGACTGCCTGAGGAAAAAAAAAAAAGCCAGCAAAACACGTTTGTCATGTTCCCACAGCGAGACAGTGGTTACCAAAGCTTTCTAGCTCTAAGTCACCCTCAGTGTCACTGCTTCCCACCCCAGAAAAAGATCAGAAGTAGTTTAATCCCCCACTTTATTCAGTATTTTCTTCTATATCAGTGGATACTGAAGTAAGATCCTAACTCAGAAATAATGCTGAAAAGTTTGTCAGTTCTTTCTCATGTCATAAACAACCTAATAAGACATTTCAGCAACAGCTCAATGGATACACATTTTCAAAATTACTCAAATGTTAATTAATAACTGTGAAAGACTGTGGAAACAGCAGCTAGTGAGTTCCTTAGAAGGAAAAGACAGGGCACAGGCAAGTAAAAGCTGGGAAACAATCAGGTATGACTTCAGAAGGCATTTTGTTCCTAAACAAGCATGCTCCTAAGACAAAGACACTTGCAGAACAACGAGGGGCAGTGTTTTTGCTTCTTTAACACTGCTTAAATTCTAGACAGAAAAAAAAAAAAACAGGCCGTGGTACTATTGTGGTCGCTGTGAATTATAGCACTCCATAAAGATAATGAATGCTTATTTATATTACAAATTATGCTAAGGAATTTAAATAAATTAAATTCACATTTAAGCTATGTCACAATATTATCCCCATCAAAATGACTGAGGCAAAGAGTTTCTACAGCAAAGCTCTAAGTCACATAGCCCCTAAGTGTGTTTAGAACAAAACATCAGTTAAAATAGTTTAAATTTACTGAACACTTTAGGCTTTAAAAATTAAGTCTAGATTTTTAATGATGACACGGTTTAGTTAGGAAGACTATGACCCAAAATGAATCATGCAGAGTGTCTAAGTGATTTGGAATTGGAGATCTGAGTTGGTGACAGATTATGAAATATCCAGTTATCCTGATGCTTAAGGAATAACCACAAACTTTAACACAAGTATTAACTTTCCCATTTAGTCAGAACTTTAACATTTCCAAAAAGATTAATCATTTTTCTAAAGAATGAGAAATATAGTTGGAAATGTAAAAGCTGTGTATGGGAAGGGCTAAGGAGAAATTGTGACATCAAAAAGAGCTGATTTACCTTCTAAATGTAATATACACCAACTTACGGGACTAGTGTTGTTCAAACCTGCATAAAGTATATGCTACAAACCAGAATGAGGATATTACACATTGATGAAAGGATTAAGCTCTCACTTAAGACTGCTTTTATGGCAGTCTACTACTGATTTCAGGTCTTGAGGGCTGAGCAGAAATTGCTCAACAAAAAAGAAATGCTCCACTTGCTAGAACCTCCAGGCTAGTGTTTTCTGAGAGTAAGGCACATTATTTATAGTGTTTGAACAGCAACTGAAAACACAGTCAAAAAACACCTTGCTTTTTGGAGGAAAAATAATGAAGTATTTCATCCATGAGGAAAGAGAGTGTGTCACACAGTGCAGGAGAAAGATCTCCTGGTGAGATGTTCTGCTGGCATTGATTATTTGTTGCTATAGGAGTAGACTCTTCACTGTGCCACAACATATGCTGGTCATGGAAGTAGGGTACACAGAACTGAGACAGGTCACTACTGTCTTCTCTTGTTTTTCTTTGGCTACTTTGGCTCATCAAATCCACCATCACTGCCTAGTTACAATTTCCATTCTTCACCAGCAGATCCTCCAACTCAAAGCTAAATCAAAATCAAAACCAAAACCAAACAAAAACAGGAAAAGCTATGTCTGTGTCTCTCACAGTTCTGTGAAGTTGTACCTATATATCGGAGTATATCACCATTAGTCACAGATTTGTATTTTAAATGTTAATCATATGAAAATAAGGACAAATTTAACAGAATCATCCGTATGTCTGAAGGCCACTATAAAAAAACTGAAAAGATTAGGGCTCTAGTAAGCCATGAGGTAAAACAGAAAATCTCATTAATGTGGGGCAGCTACTTCATCTCCACCTTTTAAACTGAAGTATATCACAAGATACCAAAAAAAACACACTAGCAGATTGTGTTTACTCCCTTACTTCACCTTCCAGAAAACCTGTTTTGTTGGCAAATAATATACTCCCCTCCTACTTTAGTTTAACATTTGTATTAAGATTAATTATGCTGTAATTACTCACAAAAATCAATATTAAACAAATGAGGTTTCTTAAGAAACAATTTTCTTTTTTGTTAGTTTTTCTGAGATAATATCTTGCTACGTAGTCTTGGCCACTCTCGAACTTGAGACCCTCCTGCCTTGCTTCCCTAGTGCTGGAATTATTGGTGTGTGTCATCATGCCCAGCTAATAAGTTGCTTTTCTAAAATAAATATTTAATCAATTCAAACATGTTTGAATTGGTTCACAAACCCCCAGTGTTTATGGACGCCACCATACAACGTATCCTTCAAAGCCAACTGATCTGAAGCTGCATACAGTTCTATTAGTCACTTTCAGATCTAAACTCTTCAGCACTTGCTCAAATAAAAAATGTATCTCCAGTCTTTCTCTGCCCTTCAGGAACTGGACATTTCTGAAATGCTCAATTCAGTTACCTTGCCAGGTTTCTCCACTGCTGAGCTCATGAAGGACAAAGATAAACAGGAATAATTCCAGAATAAAGGAGACTACTACTAGCATTTCAGAAAAAAAAAAACCTTTAAAAGGAATGATAGAGAGGTCAGCAAAATAAAGTAGTATGATAAACATTTGGGGATCCAGGTAAAGAATATACTTCATTCTTTGCACTATTTATTTCAATAAGGATCATTTGCAACTACTTTTCAAGTCTGAATTTATTTAAAAATAAAAAAGTTTAAAAATCTTTGTGTCACATTTATACCCAAGACTATAATGAATTTAACATATTAAGGAGTTTCTGATGTAGCAAAAGGTGTTGATTTCAAAGCTGACTCTGTTATTTTTTGTTTATGTGCTTAGCCATCTGTTTAGAGGTAAGTAATTTTTGGAAGGTAACATCATAGGGCATTAAAGTAAAAAAAAAAAAAAAAAAGATAGTCAAGTGGTTAGGACGTATTTCATTTTCTAAAAAGTGGCATACTCACTGTCTAATCCAGGATGGCTGATTGTCATTAATGAGATGGATTTGGTCAATGGAGAAGAAATGGCTGATGTACAGTAATTAAATCCCTGTTGTTTAGATCTGTGATATGTCTGAAGTAAAAAAAAAAAAAAAAAAAAAGAACAAGTTTTCAGTACATGCTCTAACACTCCTTAATAAGCACAGAATACTTGCACACAACACAGTAAAATAATGCGGACTAGCAGGGTAGTGAAAATCATGTTTCCCAGTCAGACAGACTTGGATTCCAGTCTGCCCCGGCACTTGATACCTGCTCAACTTTAGAGAAGTTACTCAGGTTTTCTGAGCCTTGGTTTTTCCATCACAAATAGGGATAATTTGATACTCATCCTTTACATCCCTCACAGCATCTAGCAACATTTCAAGCTTAATAAGTACTGAGTAAGTGCCTGCAGGATATAGTACAATCCAATAAAAATAATTTCACTTAAGATACCAATCTATCTCTAGTACTTGTTCTTTGAAATCTGAACCCCTCCAGAGATATAGTTAAGTAGGATACTAGTAATATTACTCTGATTTTAAAGAGCTGGAAACTGAAATCCACGTAAAGTGTTTCAAGATCGTACGCAAAGCAGCTATAAAAAAAAACAGCTATACGTCTGGGAAAAAAACTCAAATTGTTTCATTTTTTTTTTTTTCTTAAGATTAGACTGATTCTCCACGAAGATGAGAGTGAGTGAAATGTGGTAGTTTAAAGCCCTTAGTAAATTCCCAACAGCTTCAAGGTTATGTGATAAAACTAACTGCAGAAGCTCCTTGCTAAACATCCCTGAAAGCCTGCTGTCACTTTCGATGATAAGGGCTCTCACCCCTTTGAGAGGGCCCATGCTACATGTTAACCTATGTTAACGATCACTATTAGTAGGGCAAAATCTGTCTCTTTCTAACTCATATATGCTGAAAGGGAAGCACTGAAAATCCATTATTAGCATTAACATAAATGGGCCAAAGACTTCTGATTATTTAGAGCTTGTTCCATGCTCAGATTCCAAGTAACCATGGAATCTGAGGCAAACAGTTGCTATGTTTCAAATACAACTCTGAGGTCTGAAAAATGATCTCAGTGAAAGGCAGAGACTTTCAACAGGAAGTTGGCTACAGGCAATTTGTGCAGATCACACAGATAAAGCAATTCAAATACCCACTCTGAGGTTGCACATCAGATGAAAAACCATGGGTAAGCAGAGTTCTAGGAAGGCCATGCAAGGCACTAAAATGTTGACTTCATCCAGAAATGTTGATTAAAAAAAAAAAAACAAAAAACAAAAAACTAAACCAGGAAATCCATTTTAGAAAGACATCAATGCAGGGGCTGGGGATTTAGCTCAGCGGCAAAGCACCTGCCTGGCAAGCGCAAGGTCATGAGTTCGATTCCTGATACCGGAAGAAAAACAAAAAAAACAAAAAACCAAAAAAACAGAAAAAAAAAAGAAAGACATCAATGCTAATAATCACTTCCTAAAAGACAAGGTTACCTGTTAAATTCAGTCTCACAAATATCAAGTATCAGCCTCAGAAAAATGTATCATACAAAAGAAAAATAAATACATGACACAAAAGGTACACAAATATAAAGAACTACAAAGAAAATGCCTATAAATATGTATAGAATATATAAACAGTACACATATACAGAATACATAAAATTGAAATGACCTCATTTATTCATTAAAATTTGTCTATTTTAAAGACATGGTAAGAAGCAGTGAGACCAGCAGTGAGGAATTTGGAATTTAACACTGCTCAGCTACAAGTTATGTAGCATTAGCCAAGTCACTTAGACAGGCTTGAAGCTCTCACACTTACAAAGGTACACTTGGCTCCAGGTCTATGATTTTGTTAACCACATGCAAGTTTTATATTTTCTCTGACCTTGAGAATGACCTTCTAAAGATTCCATACATGTGAAACGCAATTTATTTTTCAGATTTTTGAGTTTATCCCTTATCAAAGCTGTACTAAGTAACCACATTTTTCTGTCATCATTAACCTTAACAAATTTAAACCACCTACTTCATTAAGTGTATTTTCCATATTCTTTTTTTCTAATGTAGTAGGCCAAGCAGAAAGTTTTTAGAAAGTGGGAAAGCTCTTTTAGACCTTAAATTTGATTTTCACTAGGCCTATAATGTTCTCTTTATCCACCTGCCTTCATATAAGTACAACTGATACATTCATTACTAAGATCATCTTTCAGTGCCAAATTTGTGGTCATGGCATTGCTAGGTATTAGGATACAATAAAGAATTAAATGTCTATACAAAACCTACAGCTATCAAGTAAAAGAATAAGTTGTTAATATTTTTATTAGTTTCATTAGATCTCTGAACAAAATTCTTATTCAAAATAGGTATCTTACTTGTTTGTTTAATTAGATATGTTTCATTTAGATGAATTAAGAGGAATCCTTTCAGAAAAAATAGTCTCTTGGCCCAAGAGGAGGAAAAAGAACTGTCGAGAAAAGGTAGGATGCTAAAAAAAATTTTACCTAAAAAACTTCCCCAGGGATATAACGGGCCTGAGAAAATGACAACTAAGAAAAAATCACCTGACTTGGCTGAGAAGCCAGACCATGACCTTCAAGAGAATGGCAGGGGAGGACACTAATACATGTAGGTGGTGAGAAAGAGTAGTAGGCAGGGAATGTACATGCTCTCAAGGATTCTGGCAGGGCCAGAAAGCAGAGGAATCAACAATTGTTCCCTGGACGGTATGGTTAAGACAAAGAATATTGTTTCTATAAAGAAATTTAGGCAATTACTTCAAAATTAGGAACTTTAATGATGAGTAATATATTTCAAGACTCATTTTAGTACTGAGGTGGTAAGAAAATTTCAAATGTATCTCCTAGATACTTTCCCAATTCTACAGTTTGCCCTGATGGAATATTTAAATCTGTGCAACTTATTAGTATTCTTTAATTCATTGCTAAAAACTTGCTTTGCTAACAGATCAGATATATTATTTAATAAGTAAGTCATCTTGGCTACTAGCTTTCTATTAGCAGAGGTCTTATCCTTTAATGTTCTTAAAATATGTTCATATTTTGGGACATAATTTCTTTTCCAAATTAGTAATATATATGTATTTCAGCCTTACCTGCTGATCAAACATCCTATGTTCTATCTGGTGTGACTCCAGATCCTCTTCTGAAAGTGACACCAAAGAGTCACCCCGTTCCTCTCCACTGAGAGGATGTCTGAGCTCTTTGGAGTTTGCAGAGTTAACTTCTAGAGATGAAGATGGCTTATTTCCAATGCCAGCTGCTCCTGTTAAGCCTTCCAGACTGAAACTGAACACAGAGCACAAGGGTTAATTCATTGTATTTGTAAGTCGCGCAATGGAAAGAGGACCCCAAATCTCTTCAGTTCTATCTCTTGCTCATATGCTATTCCTATGTCACCTAGCAAAACTAATAGGGCACAGGACAAATGAGTACCACCCCCTGCCCAGGTCTTGAAATTGTGAGAAAACACAATGCACACAGATTCTCTTACCTTGTTCCACCTATCTAAATGTCAAACCAGCTAAGATCATTTTCTCAGATTTTTTACTATACTACATGGACAGACCATATTTATCTTACTTTCTTTCATATATGGGTGCTTTTCATTTATCTGATATGATTAATTTTTGCCATAATACAACTCTAATTCCAAGTTTTAAGAAAATGTAAGTAACTTTCAAAAGGCAAACTGGGTGACTTGCCCTGTCTCCATTAAGTGGAGTTTGTAGCTTTATACTGAACTACGCTCTAGCTGACCTTTAGAACTCTCTACAGATGTGGTTCCACCCAAAAAAACCCTTGTGCTACTCATGGTCATTACCATTTATGCACACCCATGAGACAACTAACAGACTGCCTAAGAATTGTTAGTTGCAAACGTGCACATATTACACTTTAAAGAACAAATGCTGAAAAGCTACTGAGAATAAGTTTCAATTTTTCTGTTGGTATGGGTAGAAGAAAAAAATCCAACAGAGCTTGAAATTTTAGATGGGATTTGTAGGATAAAGATTTTGCAGTTTGCAGAGCAAAAAATATGCTCTGTTAGCAAGAGGCTACACAGCAAGATTTTTCTCTTTGGAGCTGCTAACTAAGGTAATTAACATTTGTTGTAACCTTAGCAGAGACTTTTAAAACATGAGAGATCTCTAAATACAGATTAGGGGGGCATCCTCAGTTCACAACTAGCTGGAACTGTATTTGGAGATACACTGAATCTACAGTATTTATTTACTTCCATCCTAAGAAAATATAACAGGTAATTGTGACAGTTATGTTCAAACATGCTGTACTAGAAGCACTTCTATTTGACTTTTTTCTTTTTTTGCTTCATAAGTTATTTATTATGAACTAAAACTGTATGCCTGGAAAAAAAGAAAAGAAGAAAAAGAAAACCGTATGCCTGTATTTATTCTATTGGGTAAATTAAACAATAGGTTAATTTTTCTTATTTCAATATAACAATAGAAATCATGATTAAGAATAAATGTCTCTGTAAAACTCATTTTCAATACGAGGGATAAGAAGAGGGGCTAAGTGAAGAAGAAATTTAGTTCTGTACTGTGAATTATTTGAAAAGCTGGAGAGAACCAAATCTATGCTTACCACAAAACTTAATCCTGAAAATGTTTTAGTAATTAAATCTGGCTGGGTAGTTGAAAGAAGAATATGAAACAATGAAGTCTCTGATTGTGGGACAGTAATGAATTTGGAAACAAAACAGAAATCAGTACATCTTATTAGCTGCCTTGCTGCTCTCATTGTTATTCTAAGGATCTGGGAATTTGGACAGCCCAGAACAAAGAGATGTGGTCTGCTATACCGCAGAGACAAGTCTGTGCAGAAAACACTAAATCTATAACCATTTGAAACAAATATGGTGTATCAAGGTCTATCACTGAGTTACCAGGCCACAACCTTCCAGGTGGTTTAGTGATGCCTACTGCAGATTCAACAGAACACACAGACACAGCAGGCTGCTCATATACATTCTTGCCATACAGAAGTGAGCTCCAAGCCAAAGTCAGATGGTGTATTTTATGAATCCCCATTTGGTGGTCAGACATGTAATGATACTATACCTTCTGTAATTAAAGTCAGCACTCAAGGCAGCAGAGTATTGCACACCAGAAGGACACCAGCTCATACTGGGGATGACATCAAAGGCAGAAAAACAAATGAAGAAGGAAAGTGAAAACAGGTACAGCATTATTAGGTTCAAAAAGAAAGGGCACAGTTAAAGACAGATGGATTTACTTGTCAAAAACTACAACAATGAGAATTTAGAAAAAGGCTAGACTAAAGTACATGCTAACATACTATTCTATGGATAGCCATCTGGACAATGTTTTGAAAAAGAACATAAAACCAGTCCAACCTAAAACCCAAGAATTTATTCTTGTAATCTTTGGGTAATGAGCCCACCCACTCGTGGCTTCCTCTCCAGACCTTCTCTGGAAGGCATTTTAACACCCATTACTGGGAAAATCTCACTATGCTCCCCTTCTCCTACATTGACTTACATAGTCTCTCTACTCTGGATTATAAGAGGTGACAACCAGTGCTGAGGCAGACTCACTGAGAATTAGTTTTCTTGTTTTTTCATGGGTTCCCATTAAGGATCCAATTAAATCAGACAATTCTTGAATATTAAGTAAGTCAAATTCATATTCAGCTTTATTTTTTTTCTTGGCAATACTGTTGGAAATTGAGTCCAGAGCCTCCAGCATATACACAAGAAATCTACCACTGAGCTACACTGCTGGCCCTTTTTAGTTTTAAATTTTAAGATACAGTCTCACTAAGTGGCCCAGGATAGCCTCAAATTTGTTTTTCTCCTGCCTCAGCCTCTTTAAAAGCTACTAGCCTCTTCTGCTAAAAATAAAGCACGTAACAATGGCCATATTCCCTTGTATTTTAGTGATAATTAGGGGATTTTTCCTCCTAGAATTCTATAGTACTGAGCTGGAAGTGTATTTTTTAATGATTAAGTTTGTGTATGTAGTAAGATTTTTAAAAATCCACTACTTATACACCTTTCCTTCTTTAAAAAAAAAAAAATCCACTACTTTCTTGATTATATTACCATAGCAGGGAGAGAGAATCTGGAATGAGAGAGGCTAAATAAATACAACCAGCTTTAAAAAAACATGCAATTCAAAATATCAGACACTCTGTAAAGGGAACTATTATCAATAGGTCAGGTGGTTTTTTTTTTTTTTTTTTTTTTAGCTACACTCCTATTGGTATGTTGATTAACAAAAGTCATCACTTAAAAGTCATGGCTGCTATTTAGGCCTTAAATTCTAAGTGATATGTCTTTATTTTCACACTGCTGCTCTAAAACCACTCAGCTCTCTACTCAACTGCACAGATGAGAAGGCCTGCAGACACCAGAACACCTCTCTCAAATTCATCTAACAACTAAGTGCCAAGTGAGAGTCTGTGCAGAGGAAAAGTGACAAGAAAATGGTGAGAGGATATAGTAGCTTCTGCTATAGTTTTCCTAGATGGCAATTTTTGTCTTTTAAAGATAAATAGCATAAAACATTTTAAATCAAGAATAAAGTTTGAAGGTCAGAAGTACAAAAGCAGAAAGGAAAAACACAAATCTAGTGAAATACATCTCTAGTCTGGCAAGGAGATCAGACTAACTTACAATTTACTTGTATGAGCAGAAGCAAAATATATTTTACAAACAGATTGAGGAAGTTCAGTCTTTGAAGTATTAATTTTAAATCTCCAAACCATTAGTAAATAGGCATATTATACATATCCAACCTGTTATGAAAAGCAGAATGTGGCACATCAGTAACAATGCATGTCACTCTTAACAATAATGTCTTTTTATTGTTCCCAACATTCTCTTTACTCTCAGAATATATAATGATGATGTGGACAATTGGGAAGACACTTAAGATGAAGAGCAACACAAAGACAAGAAGAGGACATAACAGCTTTCCTAAGGATCTAATAAGTACAGATGGTTTATGTCTGCTCTTCCTTACAGCAGAAAACTCTTTCCATAATTAAGAGTATTTTTGAGAGTAATCTCATTTCCTTAATTAGCAGAGGTAATACTGAATGATTCTTTGGCTTTGAGAATTAGGAAGTTTCAGTTTTTTAAAAAAAATCACTCCCTCCCCCAAATACTTGTTGGATTTGTTTTTCAGTTTTATAAACTTTTAAATTATGTTTGTTTTTTGTTTTTTTTCCGGTACTGGGAATTGAACTCATGACCTCGTGCTTGCCAGGCAGGCACTGTGCCGCTGAGCTAAATCCCCAGCCCCAAACTTTTAAATTATGTATCAGGATTTTCCTACAAAAAAGGGGGACTTATTAAGGGCAAAACTGTAACTGGAGTTGTTTATGACAGTTTTATCTATATGCAAACTTGTAGTGCATCCATGAATATGCCATCCACGCTCACACAGAGAAATTTTTAATACAGAGCCAACAACTACAGTTCCAAAGGTTTTAGGTATTTTCTACTGAAGGCTTTTAAAACAACTTGTTCCGTGAAAAGCAACGTAACTGAGAATGTTTAAATTTAAGCTCAAGTTTTTACCTAAAATCTGGAATTAAAGGAAGTATCCACTTGAAGAAGTAGAAAGATCACTATGTGCCTGCTTCCAGCAAACAGATTTAGCTAATGAAAATCCTTCATTATAAATGTTTCTTAATTCAAGATAGAACCAAACTTTTTGCACTCCTTACACTTTTTCCAAACAACAGAAAAAAGATCACTAATGACTTCTGAACAATAGAAGTAAAAAACCACCACCACCAAAATTCTTCCCAAACTTAGCAATTTCTGACTAGAAATAGCTTTTCAGTTTATAAATCACTTACTTGTAAGCTTCAAAATTTTACCTGACAAATAATAAAGAAATTCAAAGACTGAGAGAAATTAGCTATGCCTTTTAAATACTTTTTGAAATGACTATGTCAACAATGGAATGGAGGGGCTGGGGATTTAGCTCAGCGGCAAAGCGCCTGCCTGGCAAGGTCATGAGTTCGGTTCCCAGTACCGGAGAAAAACCAAAAAAAAAAAAAAAAACAATGGAATGGAAACTGCCAAGTGGCCAAGAAATAGTCTCCAACTTTTTTATTTTTATGGAGAGAGTGTCTTGTTATATATTTAGGCTGGTCTTGAACTTACAATGTAGCCCAGCTGGCCTCCAACTTACAGTGATTCTTCTGCCTCAGCCTCTCACGCCTAGTTCTTAACATTACTAAAGAATGTGTTGAAAATATTTAAACACCTATGTGTAAGCACACACACATTTCTGGCTCTTCTTTTGGTGGGGGAATATTCTCCAGGTTTGATTCAATAAGTACAACATGGAAAATTCTTTGAGTTGTCCTAGAAAAGTTATCAAAGTCATCTGGACCAGTAAGTGCAAGACAGAAAATGCATTTTATTTTTTTTAAAGAAGTTAAAGGAACAGGAAAAACAATTTATATGGAGAGGATATAAGCAACTAATAAATACTATATTTTATTTGCCTGAATTAGAAACAGACTGTCTAGAGCAGTGGAGGGTGTAGCTCAGTAGAATTCCTGCCTAGCATGTCCAAGGCCCTGCATTCAATCTTCAGCACCCTCCCCGGCAAATCCACGAATATCCAGCCATGGATTAAGCAGAATGAATGCTTGTTAGTATATGCTCAGAGGCAGCATGGTTAGTCCATTAACATAGTGAACTTTGTACCTTCTCCTATGAATGGGAGGCCTCCTGACATCCCCAAGAACTCGAATTGAACTGAAAATGAATGGTGGAAGAGGTCAGTGATGCAGGTGAAACAAAATGGGATACAAATACATGACACATACAGATATTACAATGGGAAGAGAGGCAATGCCTAAAGACAAACAGCACAGGAGGTAAGGGAATGAAAGAATGCAGGATGAGAAAAATATGAAAACCAAAAGGCCTGAAAATTTCTGTGAAAGTTTACTTGGCTTCCTCCTTGCTCCAAGGAGTTAATGACATAACAAGTTATGAAGTCTGTTACATTTTCACACAAGTAAGAAAAACTTAAAAACCTTAAAAGTGTTTTCTTTAGGACTTTAAAATTCAGGTTACACTATACTCAGGCAGCACCATAAGAATTAGTCAAATTATTAAAATTATAATTAAAATTTAAGTCTCATTCCATTATCTCCAAAGGTATTAAGATAGAGGTGCTGATAATCCTTAAAACTAAATTCAAACAGGCAATGCTATGACACGCAGACTAAAAATATATGACTTTGGCAAGAAGGTCCTAGTGCCAGTCCAGTCTTAAAATCACCATGTAATCCTGGGGATATCATTTAATCTGAATTTCAATTTCCTCACCTGAGGCACACGATGCAAACAATCACCTATAACTCTGAAAACAGTCATGATCAATGACCCATCGTGGGTTATAAAGAAAAACTGACTAAGTCCTCTTTCCTTGATGCTGTTATTATCTAAGAGAAGGATGTACTATCAAAAAATTTCCCTCACTTCACAGAAAAAATTCTGTGTAGGGACCATTCCCTGTATCATTTCATATATATATTTGCGAATCCCTTAAAAAGATATACCAAGCATAAAACTCCAAAGAAAGCACTTAGAAATCGATTTTTGTACAACCTAGGATTTAAGGAGTATATAAAAATAACTTAAGAATATTGCTTATTTTTTCAGACTTACATCCTCAACTCCAACATAGAAAAATAGGAAACTGTAGAAAAAGTATCTAAGAGACCAGAAACCTGCATTCTACTGACGTTGGCTGAATGATATAAACTATCTGCACTAGTCCTCTCAACTGCAAACACAGGGATAATACCACCTGATGCATGGAAGAGTTAAAAAACTGAATGAGATAATATGTTGTAAAAGGAGCCTGAAAAGATTAGCAGACTAGGAGGGTGGAAGGCATTACTGTGAGCTCCATGAAGGCAGGAACTTCATCCTGTTTACCTCTGTGTCTCTAGAACCTAAAACACTGCTCAATACACACTGGCTGAATAAATAAATGAATGAGTATGATTACATGATATGCTCATAGTCAGCCACGATCTTATGAAAACAGGAATTTTTTCAAAATAACTGACCTGAGTTGTTTACATGAGTTATTTTTTTTAAACCCATCAGAGTCCTCTTACCTGGTTTACTTGATTAAGACAGTAGTTCTGGAATAAGTGCAAGGTGGTAAATACAAGAGGTATAGTATTCATTCTTTAGAGTTAAAACCATCTGCTTAGAAATTTATTAAGGCAGCTGGTACCAGAAGCCAAATCTAACTAATCTTCTCTATAGACTATTATCAAAGTGAAGGACTAAAATGGGGTTACACTTGTGAAAGTCCCCAAGACTGTATGACACAAAAGCAAATATCAACAATTTTATGATATGACAATAGCCTTATTCTTGTTTGAAGGATGAGTCGCAGGTAAGTTAGACCTTCTCAGAATTTTCTGCATTAGAAACAGATGGCTCTAATTCTAAAGAAGCATTCTGAATAACAATTGTAAGACTTCATGTTTACTTCTTAATTAAAAATTGACACAAGCCGGGTGAGGCTGCATATGCCTGTAATCCTAGCTGGTATAAATACAGTAGGGGAGCTGGTATAAATATAGGGGAGGCTGAGGCAGCAGGATCATTGCAAGTTCAAGACCAGCCTGGGCTACAAAGTGAGCTTAAGGCCAGCTTGAACTGCATAGTGAGACCCTGTCTTAAAAAAAAAAAAAAAAATGAAACCATTTTCTCCAGTACTTTCTAATTCACAAATTTCATTAACAAATCTGGTAACGATAAACACTACTATTTATTAAAAGCTCACTATGAGAGTTACATTTCACTTTATTATTATAAATATTCTGAAAAGCAAGTATTACAGATGAGAAAATTAAAGTCCAGAGTGGTGAAGGGACTTGCCCAAGGTCATCTACTTATAAGTTATATAGCAGGCATCTGAACACAAATTTTCCTTATTTTAAGGCCTATATTGTATCTTCTATACCATGGTGTTTTGTAAAATCATTTAAAAGTGTAACAGCAGGTCAGACACTTCTTAAAAGCAAACAGACATTGAGACATTAAGTAAACGTGCTACTATCTTACCTCCGGTGGTTCATTTCTGCATCACTGGCTGCATTCTTTCCAGGACCCCAGCTGTGCCTTCGGAAAGGGGAGAGTGAGCGCATGGAGCTCCTCCGAACAGAGCACTTTGCAGGTACTTCTGTGATGCTGTCCATTTCCTCTTCTTCAATCTCACCAGAGGCAGCAGGCTCATTCTCATTCTCTTGACCCTCAGCTCCCATACCATGGTTGTAGAAGCCATCAGGGCTTTGCTGATCTCTGGGCCTGTTTAGCTTTGAAATCTGAGGGAGGGACACATCACTGCCATGAGAAGAATGTTGATCCAGGGAAGCTGTGTCATCTGTAGAAGAACTGGATCCCATGATATCACAGACCTCAGGCTGTAATGGAGAGAGAGCACATGCAGTTGAAACTGGAAGGACCAAGCTGATAGTCTCAATTATTCCAGATCAAGCCAAGGGTTTCACAGTTGGTCTGAGAGGGGCAAGGTCAATAAAAGACCCTTGAGCAGAGTTGCTTTCTTTTCCATTTTTTATCCATTTTTCCAACAAGGTTAGAAAAACGCTACTACTTGCTATTGTTTTATTGGAGCTACCAGACTAGAAGTACATTGTTTTCTTCTTATAGAAGAAAAGATTTTTAGGTCAATTCTTTCAGTCAATACAATCAACTGAAATAAAGGGAACCATTTGTCTCTGGAATTTCTGCTTTACAAAAACTAATTTCATGTCATATGAGGTTTTCTTCCAAAGGTTTTTAACAGAAAGCAAGCTGCCTCCATGGCTACAGCAATATGGTGAAGCAAGTATTTCACAAGTACATGACTGTTTTTAAGTGTTCTTCTGCAAGGCACAGGGCATCACAATCCCTTACCTGAAATTATACTATAAAGCTACTGTGATAAAAATAGTGTGGTACTAGCAAAAAAACAGACCTGAGGATCAACATAACAGATTAGAAGATGCAGAAGCAACTCTAGACATACTCAGCTACTTCATCTTTGACAAAGATGCCATATATTTACTGGAACAAGGATAGCCTCTTTAGTAAATGGTGCTGGGAAAACTGGCTTTTTACATGCCAACGGTTAAAATTGGACCAATATCTCTTACCATGCACTAAACTAAATTTGAAATAGATTAAACATCTAAATATTAAAAAAGAAACATTAAATCTGCTGAAAGATAGAATCAATAAAACTCTTGAAGACACTGGTGTAGGCAAAGACTATGAATAAAACCTTGATCGTACAGGAACCATCACAAAAAAAAAAAAAATCAACAAATGGGATTTCATCTTATTAAAAAGATTTTGCACCACAAAAGAAATCAACAGAGTCAAGAGACAATCTACAATATGGGAAGAAATGTTTGTCAACTGCTCCTCAAAGGATTGAGAACATATATAGAGAACATATAAACAACTCAAAAAAAATCAGACCTCCCAAATTTGGAGATCCAGTCCAAAAATGGGCATCTGAAATGAATATACACTTCTCAGATGAAGAAATACAAACAACAAACAAATGAATTGTTCAGTATTACTGGCTACTCGACACTGAGATTCCATCTCACCCCAGAAACAATGGCTAGTATAAAGAAATCAACCAACAACAAATGCTGGAGGGCCTGTGGGGAAAAAGGAACCCCGTTCTGCTGTTGGTGGGAGTGTAGAATGGTGCAACCACTGTCGACATAAGAGTGGAGATTTCTTAATAAACTAGGATTAGACGTCCCATTTGATTCAGGTATTCCTTTTCCGGATATCTTCCCAGAAGAATTAAGAACATCACACCACAGTGATACATGGCACCCATGTTTACAGAGACACAATTTGTAATAGCAAAATCTTAAGTGCCTTTCTGAAAAGTGCAGCATAGCTTATGATCCCTCCTGAAGTCAGCCACAAATAACCTAAATGGAAGAAAGCTACTGCTTCTTTTCATTTCACTGACAACTGGCTGAGTGCTATGCAGCCAAACTTACATGAAATATTCAGTACTAGCAATGCTGTCGCTAATAAAGTGACCATGGTCTTTCCCTAGCCAATTTTTAGAGCCTAAGAATTCTAGTCCTAGAAGTCTGACACTCTACTTGAAAGACATTGAAAAGAAGAATATGATGACAGAGGGAAAGATGAGCTTTGTGGCAAGAAAACAAAGCAACAACAACAACAAAAACAACTAAGAGATGCACGACCACACTCTTAGCTGCCAATGTGGGTACTGCCTTAATGTCTTTATTTTGCTCTCTTATAAGATAGGAAAGGGCATACTGTGACTTTTTCACAATATATTCCTGATCAGCCAGTTGACTCAGTGTCTTAAGAATGAAGAAATATATAGTTCTTGGAGAGAGATTTTAAAAATTAGGAGGGCTAATCAATCCTTTCAGTTATAAAACAGGAAATAATCCCTATACTCAAAGGAGAGTCTTTTAAAAGGTCTAGCATTCTTGACCAAAGGCATGTTACTTTCTGAAAGTGCCTCAATGTCTTTGGGCCTGGATTTCATCAGCTACTATATAATTTTCCCTCATTCTGTAAAATCTGCTTTCCTAGGTTAATTGCTTTTTAAAATGTATGGGATAAGGCTGAGTTGGAAAACACAGGAGGATCACATGACAGGTCAAAAACTGAGGCCAGCTTGTCTAGTGGACTCTCCTGACTACCTGGCCATTAAGTAGCAGAATCAAGATTTGAATCTAGTTTGATTTAGAGTCAAACTGCCCTTTTCCATTATCTCAAATTGTCTTTTAAAAATTCTCTAAGGACAAAATCTTAAACTCAGTATCAAAAAAGTCCCTTCACTGGGTAAAATTCAAAACTACTCCCAACTGCTCCACCACATAAATTCTAAATTAGGGTACATATTATTTTAAAATAAAATTGTTAACTGTTCTTTTTAAATTAATAAGGACTGATGAAATCATCTTAAAAGGTACTTATTTCTGTAGCCACTCTGTACAGAAAAGGAAAATATAAATGGCCATAAATACGAACTTTATAGAATGCTTTTTCACTATTCTGTAGAGTTCGCCTCAAATATATGTCTTTTCAAATGTAATTAGTTAAGATGTGCTCATAATGGAGTTGGGTGAGCCTTAGATCCAACATGAGTTAGTCGTGTCCTTAGAAGAACAGATGCAGGGTCAAGAGATCTACCACGTAAAGGCAGAAACAGAGACCAGACAACCCAAGAAAAGTCAAGGACCACCACCAAGCACCAGGGACTAGCACAGAAGCATGGAAAAGATTATCTCTCAGAGAAAGCAACCTAGCCAAAACAGAATGGGTATCAGTCAAAATGTGTGATGAGTTTGTTCTAAAAAGCACAAGAAAGGGTTCAAAAGGAAATAAAAACTCTGGATTAAAAGTTTCCATTTATCATGTATTCTTCATAAAAGTTAGCTCTTCCCATTTGGACAAATCCCAGACAGCAGATAGGTGCTTCTTCTTCATCTTGGCATCTAGTGTTAGAAAGACAGTGCCTTGAAGGAAAAAAAAAAAAGACCTGATACTTTACTAATTTGAAACTCATAAAACAACCATCTACCCTTTGCAAGACATTAAAACAAAGTCTTTGGTGGCCTATTCATGTTTAAAAAGGAGAAAGCTATGTAAAATATATCTTCAATACAGCCTTTCCTCCTGGTATGTGCTTGGATATTTTCTTGATGTGGGATATTAACTCTCAATGAGTAACAACCATTAAATCTTCATGGTAACGATACAATTTTTTCAGTTTCGCATTCCTGATGATAAGAGTCATATGGTATAATATTTTACACAAGTATTTTTACTGTATTCAGTTCTTACTATGAGCTAGAGGCTGTTACTTAAAAGAAAATAAAGGGGTTGGGGATTTAGCTCAGTGGCACAGTGCCTGCCTGGCGAGCGCAAAGTCATGAGTTTGGTTCCCGGTACTGGTAAAAAAAAATCAAAATCCAAAAAAAAGAAAATAAAAACAAGACAACATCTAGAAATTATTAATACAGAGCTCAATTATTAAATACTAAGGCAAATGTTATGGTTTGGGTCTGGATGCCCCCCCCCCTCCAAAAGCCTCATGCAGTCATGGGGGGCAGGCTTTACAGAGGCAGCTGAATCTAGGTTTGTGATTGCTTCACTGTCTAGTGCTGGGATTGGGAGTGTGAGTGCTACACCTGCCCTAGGGCAGGTAGCCTGCATACAACATAAGGGAGGAAAAGAGGCTTGCTCTATCCTTTTGCTCTTGTTGAGTTGTTGTCTTCCACTGCCATGAACTACTGCTCCTCTGCAAGGGTCAACAGTTACCACCCTGCCTTGGAGCCAGCTGATTGTGGACTGAAACTTCGGCAAATTGTGAACTAAATAAACCTCTCCTCCCTTAATTTTGGGTGTCAGGTACATTGTCTCAGCAATGAGAAAAGTAACTAACACAGCAAATAATATTCTTTAATCCTGGACTGAATCTAAGAGCAGCTCTAAACTTCTGTTTGCCAAGATTTTTTACACGCTGTAGAAACAGTTTCCCAACTTCATGTCTTTACATTATCCCTGCAAAAGAGAAAATAGCCAGTGGCCCAATCATAAGTCAAACAGAATATGATCATTATCATTCTATAAACTAGGTATGTTGACTATGGCTAAGGCATTTTCTTCATTTTGCCTTTCTAGACCTAAATAGATTGAAAAGGCTTTAGGTTTAAAAGGTTAGAAATTATAAAATGCCTGGTGAAAGGCACTCTATTTAAATTACAGATGACAGACAATAAAAGAAAAGCTGAGATTTTATAAATATGGTGTGTTTTTTTTTTTTTTTTTTTGGTGGGAGGAGGCCTCCTTTCCAGTCCCTGAGAATCCATTAAAGTTCTTGCATCTACCAAGTAAGGAATACAAGAACTATTACTTCCCCCATTCTCTCTGCCCTCCCCACACCAGATTTGAGGGAAGTCATTCTTCTATTTATATATCAGAAGAGAAAAAAAGTTACGGCTTCTGACATAAAATGTTCCATGCCTAAGATCTAAAATTCCTCTCTTAAACAGTTCTTGAGTTACTTATCTTAAAATGTCTGCTAACTAAATGACTTCCAAGGATTCAGGATATTAGCCCCTGCTTTCAGGGGAAATAGTGCAATGGGGTCAGTTTAACTAGGGTATTTCATTTGCATGTAGTCAGAATGAGGTGGTTTTTTTAGTCTTATAAGCAGATGGCCAAAACATAATTTAAGGTTTTTCTTCCCCTTTAAACTGCAGTTTGTAATTAGAGCTGTAGTAAGATCAAAGGTAAATAAAAGAACTAAAAAGGTAGACAGAAGAGGAATGAAATGGGTGAGAGTTGTCTGTGTATGTAAGGAAAAGTATCAGGGAAACTAGACTCCCTAATACATTGACACATA